CCAAGCCAGTTCTACCAGTTTCACTGGTGTCAAACTTTATCTCCTTCCACTTCAAACTTGAATATTGCACTGAAGAAATGTAGAAGTTGAAGTGGGTCGTTGGCGAATGTCAAGAGGGCGTCAGGTTTTACCAGAATATATATTAGGTTATAAATTACGTGAAACCGTTATTTTGGCACGTTTCTGGTGCTGTTTCTGCAATTACGGACTTGACATCGTCATCAACTGCTTACACCTGAAAAAAATTACTGCCTTTTCTGGTCAGAGATTTAGTCCTTGCTTTTCTCCATTTCGAACCTTCTTCATCTGATCGAAATTTTTAACTCCAAAAATCTATAAAAATTATTTTTAGCGAAATCGTCCAGCATAACTGATCTTCGCGCCGCGTTCACCGGAAAACCCGTGGACCGTGCCGCAGCCGCTGTCGAAATGGAATTGCAAAATATGATGGGGCGGATAGTTGTAGATATAAAAGGTAAGACCTCTTTCTACGAATCGTAATCTTTTTGAGAATCAAAAAATGCAAATTCTTGTCTTGTTTTAGCTATCGCCGGATTTGCGCGTATTGCGGCTGGTGATGTATTTGAAGTGACTGTGAGGCACGGAAATCAAAAATGGCGAACAAGAGGCAGGACACAAGCGGATCGCACGCAGAAATGGGACAGATCGCAAGCAATTTTAGCTTGTCAGCCAGATGCTAGCATTGAAGTGAAGGTGAACAACGGATGACCAACTTCGATACTCATACTAAAATCAAATGGTCTCATTGGACCCTAGAGTATTAATTATTCCATGCTTGGTGCAGGCAATAGACAGGCTGCGATCGCGGCTGCGGCGCTTACTTGATGCCTTTGAGTTGCAGGCTGCATGGACCAAATATACTATCTAGTTGAAAAGGATCGCTTTTCTCAAAAATTAGTGCCCTGCGTATGCAATGATGAGATTAGCGGACCGAAATCAAATTTTCTAGGTTGCTGAAGTCCGAATGTTCAAGACCAAAGTGCTTTCCGAGAGATCATTCGAACCTTGCGAACTGTTCTCATCTGAGCCTCAACTCGTCACCATGAACCTCAACCAGATTGGAACCATAAAACTGCAGCTAGTGGTTACTTGGATGTGAGTTTCATTTTATAAACCCAACATCATGTCTCTTGGTGAGGGAATCTGAGCAAAAAAGGGGCGTGGTTAGGGGCGGAGCCAATCGTTTCGAAATCAAGCAGAATCATACTCCTCTCTCATTTACTCTGATAATTGACTGAATATAGGATTCTCCACAAAGAATTCGTGATTGAGCAGGAGCAGGGAGAAAGGGGAAAAT